CGCAGGCTCGAAGGGTAAAGACCTTTCCCAAATCTTCGCTCACAAAGACTGGCCATACTCACAAGATTTTTGGTCAGCTCTAGTGTTTACAAACTGCCTTTTCAAATTTTGCTACCAATTATGTATGCACTTATAGACCATGGGAGCTCAATATTTTTCACATGGAATATCAATTTTGTTAGTGCTAAAATAACCCTACAGCATGCAAAAAACCCATGCCCCAGTTTCACTGTGTGCATATTTTTACTACTTTTCTCCACGAAGAGGAAAGGACTTAACTGATTCAAACACAAAGTTTATCTCTTTGTAACTTCCTGTGATATCAGTCCTCAATCCCACTTTGAATTAACTATTTCCTTGAGAAAAGTCAAGGGAAAAAACCCCACCCTGTAACAGAGTCACCTGCATTATCAAAAGCATTTGACAAGTTGGGTTCCCAGCAGTTTTCATACTCAAGTCAGCTTGGAGAAAATTCCAATTAGGGACAATGTGAATTTCCTCTCATATCCTTTTCTGATGAGAGGTGGAATACATAAGGGCAAAATGATAGTGACAAAGCTGAACAATGTATTTTAAAGAAAAATATGTTTCCTTTGTATATGCAAGATGTTTCAACTAGGTGCTGCCTCCTTATTTCTAAAACAGTGGTATGTGAAGACAGTCGCCAACTGCCTGAGGCACAGAGGATTTGTTCCAAAAAGCACATAGACATCTGTTCAACTGCACAGGAGAGAGAGTAGTGGAACACCTGTAGCTAAAAGTCTTCAAAAATCCTTGTAACTTTTAGCAATGACAATATCTAAAATCCTGTGTCCACAGTTCTACAAGCCTTTGCTTCAGGAGAAAGGATAAACACAAGAGGTATGGGAAAGAAATTGCTCTGTTTGTACAAAGATACCCAGGAAACAGCATTTTCAATAATATAGAGACAGTGGTGTGCTCTAGAACAAGCATCAAAGGCAAAGTTATCCTGGGGGTTGTCTGAGACTAGCATGTGAACTCTTTCAAGAATTTTTTACTATGAAAATTGCCCACTTTTGCTCAAAACATGTCACCACAACTATCCACCCTGCCACACATCCCACAGGAAACCAAGTACCTGAAATCCTTTTAGCAAGTCTTTCATATAAGCTTATTGTACTATGTTTGATTTGTAAACAGCTGGCACCAAAGGGGTGCTGCCCATCAAGCAAGTAGCATGACTGAAGGCAAGTCAGAGCTACAAAGTCAGTTCTACCTGTCTCTTCTCATATTAATACAAGAGTCGGCATGATATGTGAAATTTAGACACGGGGTAAGGCGAAAATCCCAAAGGGTATCCCAGCTTTGGCTTGCTAGCTCTATTTTAATCACCAAGAATACACTTCAAGGCAATCCAAGCAGATAAACAAGTACATTAATCTTTGTAGATAAAAGCTTTAACTGAAACAAAGCTGTTCTTTTTAGATGAAAATCCTAAACAAACATCTTGTTTATCTTCTCACCAGGGCCAGAAGTACAGAGAGAACAAAAATGTAACAGACTATAACCCCGATGTGCACTACACAATACCCCTGTATGCTACCATAATAATCTACATGAAAATACATTAGCCACCTTAAAAAAGTACAGATGCCAGATACTTCCTGCTGAAAATATTTGACACTCCTGCCAGTAAAGTTGTCACTATCATTCTGACTCTCACATTTCCCCACTTTGTACATGTCCCAATTCGCTATGTGCGTGCATCAAATCCAAGAAGTTACTAATTCCCACAATGAACGAATTCCTACAACTAATCACACAAGAAACATTTCTTCAAACTAAAAGGAATAAACATGTAAAAAGTGCGGGTGCTTGATATTTATTAATCAAGAGTTTGAAGAGCCCAAGTTCTACCTCAGCTCTTGGGTTACCTTGTTCGCAATAGTGTTTCTCTCCCACCAAGTCATGCAGCTTATCCTTCATAGCAGTCCTGCATGAAAGGCTCTTTTAGAGCAATGTAATGGTTGTTTCAAATCCCTCAAAAATATAAAGTGTTCATTACATCAGAAATATTAATTCTTAATGATGATAAACTGTTGCAAAGAACAACAGTGAATTCTGCTATGGTTAATTTAAAAAGCAGGAAGTTGATATTAACTGAAGGTAGCACAAACTGTGACTTTCTTCCACTACTGAGGGATGAAAATCACAGAATCACAGACTCATTTAGGTTGGAAAAGACCTTTGAGATCATTGAGTCCAACCTCTGACTCATCACCACTTTGTCAACTAGACCATGGGACTAAATGCCACATCCAGTCATTTCTTGAATGCCTCCAGGGATGGTGATTCCACCACCTCCCTGGGCAGCCTGTTCCAATGCTTGACAACCTTTTCAGTGAAGAATGCAAGACAACAATCCTCCCCACTTCCTTCCCTAAGACATGGAACCATGAAATACTTTGTCTCAAAATAAATGCTAGGCATGTACGTACATGTAACATACACAGAAACCGGGACGGTTTTTCAAAGCAGTCTTATATACACCCTCTCTTTCCCAGACCCTAAAATGCATAGAAGATAGCGCTGGGGAATCTGCTTCCAACATCGACAGCTCCTGGGACTCCAGCAGACAGCAAGCAGGCACTCTACATTGCTTGGTTATACAGTATGGTAGAGCTCCACTTGAGAATGACACAACTGATTCATCTCCCCCCCCACCTCCCCTCGCCTCCTTTGCCAAGGCCACCTCTGACAACCAAGCAGAGTCTAGGCCCCTGCCTGGCTCCAGCACCCCGCACTGCTGACAGCAGCCCTGTGGACAGCAGAGCACTGCAGGGCCTGAGCAAGGCAACACTGGCTACAGAAACGATGCTTCTGATACCAATCGCTTACACTATGAAGTAAAATTAATAAACAATTTTTAAAAATGTGTATGCAGGACAGTGTTTCCAGCTGCATAAAAGAAAATGTTCTGTTTGTTCCATTCCACAGCAAATACTATATAAGCTCTTCAGTTTTTGTTTGAAAGGCACACATCTGGCATGAAAATTGAAAATATGGCATTTTTTATTTAACCTAATAAGTGCTGCGTTTTGATGGGAAAACCAGGTAATCAAGTCTTTAAAAAACAGAGCAGAGGAATCCAGTCCTAGCCACACCCTGCCACAGTGGGGCTGTGGCTGCCGATGTTACAAAACCCAGCCAGGTACACGGGATAACCCAGCAGGAAAAAAAATATACAGAAATAAATAACAAAAATATAAATAAATAAACAACACATTAATATATAATATATATACATATGTAATATATACCATATATTATATATATAGTATATACATGTATTATAGATACGTAATATATTAATATATAAAATACATGCATTAAATAAATAAACTAACACTTGATCTCCCCTATAAAGCGAAGCGCCCGTGTGCTCAATTTCACCGGCAGCCTGGCGAGGCCAAAGCCTCATTCGANTTTCAGTGAAGAATGCAAGACAACAATCCTCCCCACTTCCTTCCCTAAGACATGGAACCATGAAATACTTTGTCTCAAAATAAATGCTAGGCATGTACGTACATGTAACATACACAGAAACCGGGATGGTTTTTCAAAGCACTCTTATATACACCCTCTCTTTCCCAGACCCTAAAATGCATAGAAGATAGCGCTGGGGAATCTGCTTCCAACATCGACAGCTCCTGGGACTCCAGCAGACAGCAAGCAGGCGCTCTACATTGCCTGGTTATACAGTATGGCAGAGCTCCACTTGAGAATGACACAACTGATTCATCTCCCCCCCCACCTCCCCTCGCCTCCTTTGCCAAGGCCACCTCTGACAACCAAGCAGAGTCTAGGCCCCTGCCTGGCTCCAGCACCCCGCACTGCTGACAGCAGCCCTGTGGACAGCAGAGCACTGCAGGGCCTGAGCAAGGCAACACTGGCTACAGAAACGATGCTTCTGATACCAATCGCTTACACTATGAAGTAAAATTAATAAACAATTTTTAAAAATGTGTATGCAGGACAGTGTTTCCAGCTGCATAAAAGAAAATGTTCTGTTTGTTCCATTCCACAGCAAATACTATATAAGCTCTTCAGTTTTTGTTTGAAAGGCACACATCTGGCATGAAAATTGAAAATATGGCATTTTTTATTTAACCTAATAAGTGCTGCGTTTTGATGGGAAAACCAGGTAATCAAGTCTTTAAAAAACAGAGCAGAGGAATCCAGTCCTAGCCACACCCTGCCACAGTGGGGCTGTGGCTGCCGATGTTACAAAACCCAGCCAGGTACACGGGATAACCCAGCAGGAAAAAAAAAATACAGAAATAAATAACAAAAATATAAATAAATAAACAACACATTAATATATAAGAGATATATATAACATATATATATCATATATATCTTATATATAACATACTCAATATATATCTATATCTATTATAGATATAAAACATAACAAAAATAAATAAATAAACTAACACTTGATCTCCCCTATAAAGCGAAGCGCCCGTGTGCTCAATTTCACCGGCAGCCTGGCGAGGCCAAAGCCTCATTCGACGCTTCCTAAATTTCTCCCAGGAGGAAGCAGCACATGCTGCAGTACTGGGCGAGAGGGGCAGTCGATGGCCAAGCGAAGCCTTGACGGCCGCGTACCGCCGCCTTCGGTCGGACCAGCCCCATGCCCGCCGCGGCTCCCCCGCTCGGAGCTCCCCTGTCTCCCGGGTACCCACTCCCGCCTGCTGGGTACTCACTCCTGCCCGGCCGGGCGCCCCCGCTCCCTCTCACTGCTGCTGCTTCTTCTCCTGCCGCCGCAGCCTCACTGGGCGGCGCCAGGGCGGCCCCGCCGAGCCGTTCACCTGCCGCAGGTGAGGCGGGCGGGGCCGGGGCGCCTGCGAACCGCCCGCTCCCCTTCGTGCCCCGCTCGGTCCCGTCCCATCCCGCCGCTCCCGCCTCGTCTCGTCCTCCTCTCCCCACCGGTCCCGGTCCCGGTTCGCGCTTCGCCCCTTTTTCCGCCTCCAAACAGGCGAATCCCGCGGCCGCCCCTAACGGCCGGTGCCGTAAAGCGCGGCGCGGGCTGCGCGACAGCCGCGAGGTCCCCGTGTGGAAGATGGCGGCAGGGGAGGCGAAGTCGGTGCTGTTCGTGTGTCTGGGTGAGCGTGGCGGGGGCGCGTTACGGACGGCACTGCTCCCGCTCCCTGACCGCCGCTGCTCCCGCACGCCGCTCCTCGGCCCAGGGCGCCGGCGGGGATGGCTGGGAGCGCGGGGAGACGAGGGCCCGTGGCAGGGCCGGCGCGCCCCGCCCGCCCCGGTGCCGCGGGCGTCCCGCCCGAGGGAGCTCCGACCGTTTCCCTTGTTGGGGAGAGCCGGAGCAGTGGCCAGGAAGGCAGAAAGCGTAATCTGACTGCTCCCTGGTTCTGATAGGTCGGAGTAATGAGGAGAAATTTTACACAGAGCGTGGCAGAACACGGGAACAGGCGGACCAGAAAGGTCGTGGAGTCTCCCACTCTGGAGAGAGTCCAAACGCACGTGGACGCGTTCCTGTGTCACCTGCTCTGGGTGACGTTGCCTTGGCAGGGGAATTGGACTGGGTGATCTCCAAGAGGCCCCTTCCAACCCTAGCAGTTCTCTGGAATCAGTAGGAAATAACAGGCGAAGTCCAGTGTTGAAAAGCGCAAAGGTTGTGCGTGGGGAAGAGCAGCAGCTAAACACGCATAAACCACCATCAGGGGTGGTGACTGTGAACAGCCTTCTGAGTTGTGCAGCTCTTGGCTTCTGAACAGCCAGTAGGGGACAGGGAGCCTGCCCACAGGTTTGCTGTTTGGAACACCTGGCATGGAAAAGGGAGAGAAGACTGCAACAAAAATGACTAAGTTAATGAAACAACCTCTGCAAAAAGAGGAAAAGTACGTTAGGACTTTAAGAAAAAGAATTTAGTGGAGGCTGATCTGTCATGATCTAATAATGAAATCTTGATCTGTCATGAAAATGAGGGAAAAGAATAAGAATTTTTTGAAAGGCTACCAAAAGGAAGAAATAGAAAACTTTTGTTTTACAGATGTTCTGTGTGTTTATGTTGTAAATGCTGTCATGCAGAGTCATAGGAAATAGAAGTGTAGATGGGATCAGAAATGACTTGAATGTTTTTCTGAAGCTTAAGACAATAAATTACTGATAAACAAGATGATCACAACCAACAAATTGCTGAATTGGCTGCACGGATTACAGAGCCATGCCCCATTTTGTACACACTTCCATCAGGGGATAACAAGCTGGATGGTGCTCTACTCTAATCTAGGAGTGCTTTTAACATTACCTGTGTTCCAGCCTGTATAATCTTACCTGTGTGCTGCGAATCCCTGGCATTTTGCCAGGTTTGTTACAAAACTATTGGTTAATGTTTGGGCTTTTCATTATCTGCTTTTCTGTTGTAACAGGAGACATGCAGATTAACTGAATAGCAAAACAAGAGTTTAGTTTTGTGAAATATGTTCTGATGTTTACCTTAGAGTAAAGTCAGCCTCTAATAATAATTCAGGAAAAGCATCCTTCACTGAGGGATTATCAGTTGCTGTATGTTTGGAAAGCAGTGGCCTACACAAATGTTTTTGTATAAAAACATCTTAATTAACATGAATCCTTCTTCCCAAACATGATGTTCCAAAGGCTGTAGTAATCACCATCCCCGTGTGCTGAAAGATGAGCCAGCGGAGAAGGAGATTGGCCTGGCTGGACAGGGAGCTTTGGCTGGAACTGAGGGAAGAAAGGAGAGATTATGACCTCTGGAAGAAGGGGCAGGCAGTTCAGGAGGTCTATAAGCATGTTATGAAGTTACGCAGAGAGAAAAATTAGAAGACCCAAAGACCAGTTAGTACTTAATCTGGATACTGCTGTTAAAGATAACAAAAATGTTTTTGTAAATACATCAGCAACAAAAGGAGTGCTCAGTAGAATCTCCATCCTTTGTTGGATGCAGGAGGAAATAATGACCAAGGATGAGAAAAACGCTGACTTATGTAATGCCTTCTTTGCCTCAGTGTTAAACAGTAAGACCAGTTGTTTTCCAGGTACCAGCCCCCTGGGCTGGAAGACAGGGATGGGGAGCAGTATCACAGAATCATAGAATAGAATCACAGAATCATTAAGGTTGGAAATTACTTCCAAGATCATCAAGTACAACCTTTAACCAAACACCAGTCTCTCAACTAAACCACAGCACTAAGTGCCATGTCCAGTCATTTTTTGAATACTTTGGGGATCGTGACTCCACCACCTCTCTGGGAAGCCCCTTTCAATTCTTAACCAGCCTTTCGGTGAAAAAAATTCCCCCTGATGTCCATCCTGAAGTTCTCCTCTTGCGCAGCTTGAGGCCATTTCCTCTTGTCCTGTTGTGAGTTGGCTTGGAGGAAAGATTGACCCCCTCCTAGCTACAACCTCCTTTCAGGTAATTTACAGAGCCTCAGCCTCCTTTTGTCCAGGCTAAACAAGCCCACCTCCCTCAGCTGCTCCTCATAGGACTGTGTTCCAGACTCTTCACCATCTCAGTTGCCCTTCTCTGGACATACTTCAGCACCTCCATGTCTTTCTTGAAGTAATGGACCCAAAACTAAACTCAGGATTCGAGCTGTGGCCTCACCACTGCTGAGTACAGGGGGATGATCACTGTTCTAGTTCTGCTGGCAACACTATTCCTGATACAAGCCAGGATACCATTGGCCTTCTTGGCCACCTGGGCACACTGCTGGCTCATGCTCAGCCAGCTGTAAAACAGGAACTCTAGGTTCTTTTCTGCCAGGCTGCTTTCCAGACACTTTTCCTCCACTGAGGGAGCTGCTGGAAGTGCTCACTGAGCCACTTTCAATCATTTATGAGCAGTCCTGGTCAACTGGGGAGGTCCTTGTTGTCTGGAGGTTGGCAAATGTGATGCCCATCTAAAGGAAGGGTTGGAAGGACGATCTGGGGGAACTACAGGCCTGTCAGCCTGATGCCGATGCCAGAGAAGGTCATGGAGCAGATCATTCTGAGTGCTGTCATGTGGCACATACAGGGCATCAGGCCCAGGCAGCATGGGTTTAGGAAAAGCAGGTCCTGCTTGACTGACTTGATCTTCCATGACCAGATGATCCACCTAGTAGATGTTGTCTACCTGGACTTCAATAAAGCCTTTGTCGCCATTTCCCAAAGCATTCTCCTGGAGAAACTGGCTGCTAATGGCTGGGACAGATGCGCTGTTTCCTGGGTAAAAAACTGTCTGGATGGTCAGGCCTAGAGAGCGTTGGTGAAGCTGGCAGCCAGTCGTGAGTGGTGTTCCCCAGAGCTCAGTATTGGGATCAGTCCTGTTTAATATCTTTATCAATGATCTGGTTGAGGGGATTGAGGGCAACCACAGTAAGTTCACAGGCAACACCAAGTTGGGTGGGAGTGTTGATCTGTTGGAGGGTAGGAAGGCTCTGCAGAGGGATCTGGACAGTCTGGTTGGATGGGCTGAGGCCAAAGCCAAAGGTTCAGTAAGGTCAAGTGCTGGGTCCTGCACTTGGGTCACAACCCTGTGCAGAGCTACAGGCTTGGGGAAGAGTGTCTGGAAAGTTGCCCAGTGGCAAAGGACCTGAATGTGCTGGTTGACAGCCGGCTGAACATGAGCCAGCAGTGTGCCCAGGTGGCCAAGAAGGCCAACGGCACCCTTGACTATCAGCAATAGTGTGGCCAGCAGGACCAGGGAGGTGATTGTTCCCCTGTACTCAGCACTGGTGAGACCGCGCCTCAAATCCTGCATTCAGTGCTGGGCCCCTCACTACAAGAAAGACGCTGAGGTGATGGAGAATATCCAGAGAAGAGCAATGAAGCTGGTGAATGGAGAGGAAGTCTTACGAGGAGCAGCTGAGGGAGGTGGGGTTGTTTAGCCTAGAGAAAAGGGGGCTGAGGGCAGACCTCATCACTCTCTACAAGTACCTGAAGTAAGTTACAAGCGATAGGATCGGAGGAAACTGCCTTAAGTTGCACCAGGGAAGGTTTAATTGGGTATTAGGAAAAGTTTCATTACCAAAAAAGTTGTCAAGCATTGGAAGGGCTACCCAGGGAGATGGTTGAGGCTCTGGAGGTATTTAACAGACTTGTAGACATGGTGCTTTGGGACATGGATTAATGGTCAATTTAGGAGTGCTGGGTTAAGAACTGGACTCAGTGATCTTCAGGGTCTTTTCCAACCTAAACTGTACTATGCTTTTGTGAAACAATTCATACATATGAGTTTGTAAGCCCTTGATGATTTGCACTGTAATAAGTTTCTAATGCAGGTTGGTGTCTGAGGAGCTTTTATTAGTGTAAGATAATATAATAATTTATATTAATTAATTATTAATTTTAAGACTGAGGACTGGGTGGACAAGTCAGGACAAGTGTTAGTGGGATGGGTTTTTTAATCAAATCACATATTGTAAATAGCTTTTAAGTTTCCTCTTCTGTGTTACTGGGCTATAAAAAATAGCCATAATGGTATGTGGTGTGAAAAAGCTAATTGACATGATAAGCAGTTCTTTTTTCCAGTGAAATATACACTCTTTTCAGTTAAATTTTGTAGGCAAGTTGTTTCTTCTTCTTCCTGCTTTAAGTTTGCTTAATTTTCTCTGGTTGTTCTTGAAGAGTGATACTTTTTTCTTATAAATTTTATTAGAAATAATAGCTGAGATTATTGCTGAAAAGAGTACTAAACAGATTTCTAGAACCACATTTATCTGTAGTATTCTTTGCTGGTTAATGAGGTATATTAATTCTTAAATTTGCCACATCCAGTGAGAGTGGATCCCAGAAAGTACAATTCTTACATTTTCTTTTTACATTGTTGTGAAAGAACCGTATTACTGAAATATCTCTTGACTGTGTTCTTTGTAATGAAATAAGCAGATATTCATTACACAACAAAATACAATCTAGTTAATGTGCATAACTACATTAATGATAAGGGTTCCTCATCATTGAGAGAATAATGAAATACTCAGAAAAATATGTAATTACAGTATATGAAAAGACACCAGGAAAGAATTTTTTTCCATTTAAGCAAAGAAATAATTAAAAGTGGAGGTGAACCAAAATGCAGTTTGCTCATTTTACACTTACATAGCTCATGTAATTAATGGTTGAGCTCCAGAAATGAGCT